CTTCCTCGGGCTCAAGGCTGCAGGGGTCACGTGGCGCTCGTCGCGGCCCAGGGCCTGGCCCGGGCCCGGGCTCACTAACCTCTGGCTCCATCTGCAAAGTGCAAGCTTCTGACGGTAAACACCACGGCCTTCCCGAGGTGGCTCTTTGCTGGGGGGGCAAGCCTCGGCCCCGTGCCTCTAAGACAGACGTGAGCTGAGGTGGATGGGAGGACAGAGACCTTCCTACACTGGCACTCAGCCCTGCCCTCTGACGGCCGGGCCCCGTCCCTGGGCTGGTGCCTTCTCAGTGCAGACGAGAGGTAACACTCCACGTAATTAGAAAAACTCCAAGAGAATCAACTTGCAGGGCAAGGCCGCTGCTGGGGGAGAGGAGAGCAGCAGAGGCGTGTGCTGCGGAGAGAGGGAGAGCAGGAAGCAGGGACGGTGACCTGAGAACAGGGGGGCTGGGAGGAGGAGAAAAGCACTTGCCCAGAAACAGGAAATTAAAAGGAAGTAAGACTGTACGAGCAGGCAGAGGCGCGGACGAAGCCTCGTGAGAGGCAGGCTCCCGGGTGCAGGCGTCAGGGGCGGGCACAGCCACAGGGCGGGAGGCGAGCACTCAGCCAGCAGGCCCTGTGGGAGAGCCATCTCACGGCCTGGGGAGGGTCAGGCCCAGGAAGGGGTCCCAGTGCACAGCCCACGCTGGCACTCAGCAGTCAGATCAACCACGCCAAAGCCTGACCCAAGAGACGCTCATTGAGCGCCTGCTGTGGGTCGTGCCCAGTGGTGCAGAGGTACATGCTGGCCCGTTCAGGGCCTCCCAGCCTCAGAGCAGAGGCAGAAAAATCAGCCCACGCTGCCTCCCCCAAACAAAACAAAACTATAGCCTCTGCAGACGACACCTCCTTAGAGAGCCTGCAAAGACTCGGCCGTCTTGCTGCTTCCTGCCAGGCGTGCCCACTAGTTTCTAGGCCCATCCCCATGCTCGTCCTTAATGTGTTCTTCATTTCCCTTCCCCGAAATAAGTTCCCCCAGCAATGGCCACAGTTCCGCGGCAGAGTCCAATTGCAAATAGATAACCCATCACATCGGCAATCAGAGGCAGCCCAGGGCGAGTTGTCACGCCGATAATTTAATGCCCATTCGCTGGCGCTATCAATGTTTGCTCAGAAACGTCCCCTTGCTGCCCGCGAGGTGCCCCTGGGGATGGGAATCTGTCTGGAGTCTGGCAGGAATTCAAGTGTCTTTGATAAGACAGTCGGGACCTCTGTTATGGATATCTTGTTTTGACAACTCCCTCTTGACTAAGTGTCAAAAGATTTCGGGATGGCTCCAGTCAGGCTGTGGATTCACCGTTCCAGCCCCTCATCTGGGCTGCAGGACGGGGAGCCGTCACCTGGCATCGATCAGGGAGGCGGGCTGGGGGAGGCGGAGGTTGCTGCCCAGTCCTCACTCAGGTTCAGAGAGGCTGGGCAGAGAGTGCGGCCATCAACACAGTCCTTTCTCAACACAGCACACGATCATCCATCTGATTTTTTATTTTTAAAGCAAATCATTTGACCAAGACGCAAAAAGCTACTGGTGGTAGATCTGAACTGAGTCTCTGAATTCCAAACCTCAGAAAAGCATAGTGTTGGGTGAGGGAGGGAGCCAAGTCTGTCCAACCTGCCTGCTTCTGCTGTGCACAGCTGATGGGTCCAGCGGGGAGCTCTGTTCTCCGGGAGTTCTGGCTTTCGGACCGAGCAGCGCTGGGCTCGGTCACAAACTCGGCCGGAAGGTCCCAGGACAGGCCTCTGTTCCGACTCCTCCTGAGACGTGGCTGGCCCAATGATCCCTGAGATTCTCACAAGTAACCCAGCGTCATTCAAATAAATTACATGTTGTTTAACCTAAACGAGCCAGTCATTTCCTCTTACAGTAACCGAGACCTTTCAGGAAAGACACCATCAGCAAAAGTCACTGTTTGACTCTAATTATTTGGAAAAAATATGAGTAATATGAGAACCCTTCCGCTTTGCCCATTTACTGCTGAGAGGACCCCTCGCTGCGAACGGAATGGCCAGGTCCCGAAGGAATGCCGCTACCACGAGCGCCTTCTCGGAGACCAAGCTCTTCGCGCTCGGCCACATGTCCTGGGAAGTCACAAGGCTGCTGTGGAGAACGCTGTAGACGTCCTGGAGTCCAAGTGAGCGTGAGATGCACTCAAGTTCTCGGGCAAACAGCAGAGCAAAGATGGGGCAGGAGAGTTCCTCTGTGTAAACCAGCGGCTCTCAACCTGTGGGTCGCGACCCCTTTGGGGGTCGAACAACCCTTTCACAGGGGTCGCCTAAGACCATCGGAAAACATATATAATTACATATATTGTTTTTGTGATTAATCACTATGCTTTAATTATGTTCAATTTGTAACAATGAAAATACATCCTGCATATCAGATATTTACATTACGATTCATAACAGTAGCAAAATTACAGTTATGAAGTAGCAACGAAAATAATTTTATGGTTGGGGGTCACCACAACATGAGGAACTGTATGTATTAAAGGGTCGCGGCATTAGGAAGGTTGAGAACCACTGGTGTAATGGTGTAAACCAAGACCAGCCCTGGGGGCCCCTCCTCCCCGGGGCACACCATGTAGGGCCAGCAGGGGTCTGAGTGAGGCAGTGAGGCAG